CCCACCATAACCAGCATAAGAAAGGCTCTTTTACAATCATTAGCATTCCGGAAAGTACTTTTACAGTCATAAGCATTCCGGAAAGTACTTTCCGGAATAGTAAAATTATTGTTCATATAATTCCGGAAAGAACTTTCCGTAATAGTAACTTTAATATTATGGAAAGTACTTTCCGGAATTATGTAACAAAACATTTCCGGAAAATACTTTCCGGAATAAGAATTTAATATTATGGAAAGTATTTTCTGGAACATTTTTATATAATTCTGGAAAGAACTTTCCGTAACAGTAAGAAGAAGAAGAAGAGGAGTGTCAGAAAGAGAAAGAAGAGGGGTGTGCGAGGTGCGGGAAAAAAAAGAAGAAGAAGAGGAATGCCACAAAGAGAAAGAAGAGGGGTGCGCAATGTCAGCAGGTGGTCTTGTAAGAGAAAGACTCTTACTTGTTCTATGTAAAGAAACATTAGTACAAAAATGACTTTTAAAATCGGGGTTTTAAAATCAATCATAAGGTAGCCATTTTAAAAGTGACGCGGTGGCCTGTACTGCAATAGAACGGCCCGTTCTGCAAGCAGAACGACCCGTACCGCTTGCAGAACAACCCGTTCTGGTGCCGTTCCATACTAAAGTTTACATGCAGATACAGGATAAGTGGGGTGCGGGGAAGGGGGGTGCAGGGAAGGGGGTGTAAATTTAGGAATTTCATTTTTTTAAAAGGGTAATTTAGACATTTTATATATTTTTTTTAAAAAAGGGGGTGTGTTTATACGAGAGTTGAGGTGTGTTTATCATCTACCAAATCTAAAACGAAAGCCCCAAAGTGCCCCTCCTCTCCGAGCCCATGAGGCCCAAATAAACTCAAGATCCCGATGATAACGAGAGTCCCACATCGACAAGTTTGAAGGTTGAGAAACGATGGAGAAGGCGAAGGAGATGCTGAGGGTGACGCAAGAAGAATCAGACGCCGTGTCGCGGCTCTGCTCCGGTCCTCCCCTCCGAACCGGCGATAACTCGTCTTTCTACGAACACTTCGCCCTCGCCGGAATCCGAGTCGACCGAGTCCAACCCGGTCTCGTCTCGTGCTCCTTCAAAGTTCCCTCTCGCCTCGCGGTAACCTTGTTTTTTCCTCTTATCGTAATCGATTATTAATGGTGTCTCTTCATGATTGGAGGGAAAAGTTAATGTCCTTGTGTTACAGGACAGGAGTGGGAAGTTGGCGAATGGAGCAATTGCGAATCTGGTGGACGAGGTAGGTGGTGCCCTAATCCATGAAGAGGGTCTCCCCATGAATGTTTCTGTCGACATGTCTATCTCTTTTCTCTCTTCTGCCAACGTTGCTGTAAGTTTTAACATCTTCTTTAATTTTCCTCTTAAACCCTTTTTTAATGATTCATGTTCATGTGCATCGAACCCTACTTTCACATCATTAGAAATCTAATTAGGTTTTTTGGTAATTCTTAAGATTTTGGATATTTTAAAACATGAATAGATTTTTAGAGCTTTTCTACGGAATTTGTATCCAAATAGGTGTATAAGCTGATTATAGCTTATCAAGAAGCTTATTTAATTTTCCCTTTTTAAGTGTTTCTCGAGTAGTTTATCCAGACAAGTACTTAGTAGATAGTTAGCTGTCTTAAGCATGTTGACATGAATTCTTTTCTTGACCATGCATAAGGAGAAACTTTTGTTAGGAGAGACAAAATTCCCTTCATAATCTCCACGCCTCAACCATTCAAAACATGTGTAAAAACTTAACAGGAAAAAAAAAATGAGACGTAAGATTGATTCTGTTCTGTTCTTAGACTGTTCCTTATCTGTAAGGAGAGTGCTAACACACTCTTGAAAAGTGTTCTTTTGAATTTTGATCAATGTCAGTCTTAATTAATGTCTTGGGTTGTACACTTGACCTAAACTATACCGAGGATTTAAAAAATAATGTCACTTTCTTAAGGTTCAGACCTAATAATGTTAGCAACATGTTTATTTTATGTATCCATTTGCAATTCAAACCACTTCTTGCTACAAGACTTTTGCTTCAGATTTCATTAACAACTGGGTTCTTTCTTTTTTGCACCGCAACCAACTTCCCCACTTTCCTGCTCTTTTTCTCCCATCTTTCCTTCTGCCGCATGCATTCTTGCAATATGAGCCTTGCAGTTTAGGGCGTGAGATGTACTTTTACTTGTTTTATATGTATGTTTATCATGCCTTATGCACATATTGACATATGTTGCAGGATGAACTAGAAATTACTTCTAGGTTGTTAGGAAGGAAAGGAGGTTATTCGGGAACAATTGTTCTCATTAAAAACAAAGCAACTGGAGAATTGATAGCTGAAGGTCGTCATTCACTATTTGGCAGACATAACAGCAAAATGTAATTCAATAGATAGATGTGTATGAAATATATGTAAATAAATGAAGGTTTTGTTTCGGAAACTGGCATGTGCATTGAAAAATGATAATAAATTAACAAAATCCCCCCCCCCCCCGCTCCCTTTTAACGTTGTTGTCTTTCATCATTGTGTGGCAAACATTTGTTATGTGTATATCGTGGGTCTTGCAATTGTGGTGACACGGACAAGTAAAGTATTGAGTATTTTCGTGCATCATGTCATATATTCATCGGTGTACAAAAGATGACCTTGAATAGGCTCTTCCAATAAGATGTATTTTTTTTAAAACCGTGCAAGCCCCTCTAACTCCAGTCTTTACTTGTGACCATTATTCCATTACATCTCATATATCACTCTTTCTTGCGCTTGACAGATACATCAAGTTCCAAGTAGCATTATTTTAAGTAGAGAAGAGTACATTTTTTTCCTGCCAATTTGCAACTTGATTTCTTCATAACTAATGAGAATACCCAACTAAAGTGAGAAGAGCATCACACCAACTATTTGATGTTTACATTTGTGTTCACAATTTTTAAAAATTGGATTGTTCGTTGAATTATTTGGTTCAACTATGCTTGAAGTAAGGCTGAACTATGTTTACATTTGTGTTCACCCAAGATTTTTAAAACTTAAGCGATTACACGTTATAGTTTTAGTGATTTAATTATGGTTTAATATGTAGTAATTTAGTGATACTATTTTAATTTAAATTTAATATTTTTTTTGGTGAAAATGTTAACATATTAAGCAACATTAAATAAAAGCACAATATCTATAATTTTGTATAATTACAAATTAGGTTTTAGTTATGATAATAAAAACTCGACTTACAATATTCAAAATTAAAAAAGTGAAATTACATCAAATTTCTCATAATATTTAAGTTTAACAAGAAAAATATTTATTAGCAATTATAATTAGAAATCTAATAAATGTAGTTTATATAACTATTAAGCATTGTGATTTTGAGTTAAAACTGTATCAATTATCATAATATCATTTTTATTTTAAAATTATTATTTATTGCTAACTGGTTCAAATTATTAAATCTAATTTATTTTGTCCAGTTTTGCAGGGTGAGTTTCAGGTTAAATGAATCAGTTTCAATTTGTCCAACTTTGAATTGGTTCAATTAATTTTATAATGATTCTTTTACGAAGTGTTGCTTTTTTAAGCTAATTTACTTCAACCAAAATATTTTTAAACTTTTTTATATATTTTAATCTATCATTTTACTTTTATTTATAAATTAATTTAATATTTTTAAATAAATTATTAATGATTAAAAATAATCTTGTATTACTATAGACAATATTTATGATAAATCTAATATATAACAATTTTTTAAAAGAATTTCTGAACACATTATATTCAAAATTGAAATAACATCATTTGATTATTACTAATTCAATCATAATCCCTTCTATGTATAAATTAAAATAATTATCTTGACAGAGAGTTTTTTTAAAGATTAATCTTTGATCAAAATATTTTTAGTTATTTTATTTGATGAGAACGTTTTAAATAATTCTTTTTAATCTCTTATCATTTTTTATCTATTATTTTTATTTTTAAGTTAACTTTTATTATTTTAAATATAATTATTAATAACTAAATATTACATAAAAATATAATTTATATGATCAATAATATTTATTTAATATAAATTTTAGTCATAAAAAAATTATATTGTAAATAATAAAATATTAGTTAAACCCATTAAACTAATTCAATAACAGATTTAAATATTATGAACAGAAATATAAGGTAATTAAACATCAAATGGCTGGTGTGATGTTATTCTCACTTTTTTGGGCATTCTCATTTGTCATGAGGAAATCAAGCTGCAACATGGCATGAAAAATATGTACTCTTCTAGTCTTCTCCCTTCAAATTAAAGTTCCTTGGAAAATGACGTCTCAGTCAGCGATAAATTGTGATATATGAGAAGTAATGGAATAATATGGTCACAGTAACTTAATATTCATTTTTCCAATGTACATTTTTTCAAATTATTCTCTCAATCGGAACTTTATCTAATTACCCAAGTTTTCCTAAGAAAACCTTCATTTATTTACATATTTCATGTAGATCGACCATATATATTGAATCACTGTCACTTGGACCGATCTATTGAGGGTTATGATATATGTATGAAAATTTAAATTCGGTTATGATTATTGTGATTATAATTTTTCTTACCAATAAAAAGATACATTGACCATATTGAATAACAATTTGCTGTTATGTCTACCAAATAGCGAATGACGACCTTCTGCTATCAATTCTCCGGTTGCTTTGTTTTTAAGGAGAACCATTGTCCCCAAATAACATCCATGCTTTCCTAACAGCCTATAAGTATTTGCTAATTCATCCTACAACATAATATCAACACATACCTAACATGGTTTTATATTGAGGTTACGATTGTCATTACAGCTATTACGATGCAGATTATGATATGAAGTTATTATATATTTACATTAATATAAATAAACAATTAGATTTTTTTTCACTCAAAATCTCTTTCTCTCTTTCTTAAAAGATACTCTCAGTTTCAAAATGAATAAATACATTACTTTTATTTATGATGTTTGAAGAATTTATAAAGAGGTAAATTAAGGGAAAAAAACATTTCATTAAAGATCGAGAACAAAAGTTATTTTAGAATATTTTCAAATGTAAAAATTGTAATCATTTTAGGATAAATGGAATAGTAATGTAGTACGTGTATAATAATGATTAATTATTTTCAAGTGTAAAGTTCATCAGAATTTTATCTCTAGTTGTGTGTGACTAACTTTACTAGGTTTAAACCTTAACAAAATTAAAAAAAAAACATATCAAAATGACAAATGGAACCAGTCATATAATATTAATTAGGTTTAATATAATACTTTTACTAATAAAAATATTAATAAATAGATTTTATGTGATATTATTTAACAAATTCGAGTATAAAAATTAAAACAATATTTTTTTAAGGTTACAAAGATCAAAGAGATCAATTTAAAATTTAAAAGACTAAAAATAAAGTTATTTAAATTTTGGGAACTAAAAATATATTTAATTTTTTTTTAATAATAAAAGTGTATAATGGTTTATTAAATGAGGAGACAAGGTAGTTATTAAAAAGAATATCTCATTTATATATTGATATAAATTAAAAGATTTTTGCTTTTTTTCTTTCAAATTATTAACTAACGCCACATTGTCCACAAAATTAAATACATTATTACTATATGAATTTAATAACTCAACATCATTCATATGAAAACGACATTATAAATAAATTAGTGATTGAGACTAATTTTTTTTTTAAAAAGAATTAAGTATAGAAACTAAAAGAATTATTTTAAACTATAAGGACCAAGATCTCGTTTGGAATAATTTATGAACAATTTATTTGTATTTATCTTATTTTATAACTGATTACGAGAGTACTTGGACAAACTTATAAAGGCCCTGTTTGGAAGAGCTTATAAACTACTTATTTTTACTTATCTTGTTTTATAAGTGCTTATGAAAGTGTTTGAACAAACTTATAAAATATTCCATAAATAACTCATAAGATGTTTTTAACTTATTTTAATAAGTTGTTTACTATAACTTATTGCTTAAATTATGCAATAACTTATTAAAAAAAGTCAAAATTCGAATCTTGTTGATGATGTAAATAGTTTTTTTTTTCATTCTTTCACTAAAAATCAATTTTATAATTTTTTTCATTACTCCTTCCAAATATATTGTTTTGTCTTTCTCTACAAATTTTTGTCCCTCTTTATATTTTCTCTTCTCTTCCATCTTTTTCCTCAAAACCCACTTTCTTCTATTATTTATAATTTATTTAAAATTATTAAGTTACTTTTATATTTTCATTTTATTTTTGTTTAAAATTTAAATTGCAATTTTTTAATTTTTAACATGAGATAAAATCTTATAAATGTTCAAATAATAATACATCAAAATATTTTAAAATTGTACAAGTGTTTGTTAATAGGTATATCCAAATCTAATAATTTATTGAATTGGAAGCACTTATAACATAAGTTATTATTACATAAGAACTTATTTAATAAGATCTTAAATAAGTTATTTGTCCAAACAGGCCCAAAATATCCCATAAGTAGTTCATATGATATTTTAAGCTTATTTTAATAAGTTATAAAGTATAAGTTATTGTTTAACTTGTGCGATAACTTATATATATATATATATATACTATTTTTTTAAAATTACATATTTTTTTTTGTCAAAATAAAATAAAATATACAATTTTTGATCTATTTATGTTACATATATTTTTAATTTTCATTTATGTATTAAATAAGATATATTTATTAAATTATTACATAGAATTTATATATTATTAAAATTATAATATTATTGATAAATTAATATAAATAGTATTATCAATATATTTATAGGTAAATTAATAATTTCATGAATATAAATTAGTATATATCAAAATACTTTTACAATATGTAAATATATATGAAGAAAGTTAATTAAAATTAATATTAATATATCATGTCACCTGTTAATGCTTTATCCAAAAAGATTATTATTATATTTTTAGTAAAAATGACTAAAATTACACAATTACAATACTTAATAAACTAAAATTATTCAATTAAAAATTAAAAATCGAAATTAAACAAATGCAATACTTGAATATTAAAATTGTTGAATTAAAATTTGGACTAAAATTACTTAATAAAAATTTTAGAGACTAAATTTGCACAATTGTAATACTTGAAGACCAAAAATACATTTAAATTTATTAATTTTTTTATGACATCTTTTGTTGTTCTTATATTTATGAGAATTTTTTATTCTCTTCGTCTCCTAATAAATATTGTATTTAAAGAAAAAATAAGTCCTAATTTTTTTTTAATATTTTTCCAATATAATTTAAGATAACACTTATTATAACATAAAGAGACTAATAATTATTATTATTGTATTTTGTGAAGATGAATTAGAGTGTATTTGAGAAAAGACAAGTGAATTAGAGAATAACTATAGAAAACATCTCTACTTGAAAGATTGGAATTGAGTGAAATTATGAGAATAAATTATGAGATCCATACAATAAAACAAATACATTGAAAAATATGGTAATTGATGTAAAAAAAAATTATTAGAAGACGATACTACCTTTTGTCTGTTTTTATTACCCTAAACTCTCCATTTATGACTTTGTTATTTTTTTTATATATTCGATTATGATTATTTGATTATTTATGATATTCAATTATCATCAGTATATTCAATTATTATAATCTGACACTCTATCGCATGTAAATGAATGTGTCATATCCAATGATATATTTTACATTCCATCGATTTTATATGTATAAAAATTGTTAATAATTTCTATTGAATTATAAATTTCTAACGATATTCCAATATATTACAATTATAATATATTAAGGACATAAAAACATAAAAACACATGTTAATAGATATAAGAATAAAATGATAATTTTATATTATTTATTTTCACAGAAAATATAACTTAAAAAATATTAATTCATATTTATTTTTCACCTAATTTTACCTTATTAATAATCAATTAAGGTTTAATCATGGAATCTTATGTGTCTTAATTAATTGAATGACGCGTGGCCGTGCAGTCTCAAAAACAGTAGTAACGAGTGACACGTGAAGTGTGATTGTTCAGTAATAAGGACAAAGGAGTAATTAAGCGTTGTTTAAATTTCCACTAAAACTCTGCAAAAGACAATTTCAACCAACCAAACCACCCACCCACTCAAAACGTCTGCCGTCAGCCGCCATGGCAGCGCTCTCCTCCGCCGTCGCTCTCGCCGCCAAACCCCTTTCACTCCCCAAAAACCACCGCGCCAGGGCGGCGGAGTTCCACTCCACCAAACTCCAGCTCAGCACAACGCAATTGAAATTCGCCAACCTCTCGGCCCCTCTCCGCTCCCTCCCCAGCCTCCGCCTCCGCCTCCGCCTCCGCGTCTCTTCCAACGACGCTCGCTTCAATTCGGCTCCCGAGGAGAACCGAGAGCAGCCGAGCTTCGCAGAGTTCATCACTTCCGAGAGAGTCAAAGTTGTGGCCATGCTCGCTCTCGCCCTCGCTCTCTGCAACGCCGATCGCGTCGTCATGTCCGTCGCCATCGTCCCCTTGTCCCTCGCCAACGGCTGGACCCGCGCCTTCGCCGGAATCGTTCAGGTTCCCGCGCACCAGCTGTTTGATGATTTGACTCTGCTGCTTTTCTTATTTTGGTTGTTGATTTTATGAGTTTAACATGCATGCATTACAAGTTTTTACAACGTGAACTAATTAGAATTCGATTCTGGTATGTATTATAACTAATCATTATTAAAGTCAACAAAATTATCATATATGCAATTTTGTGATTGGATTGCATAGCAAGGGCCTCTTTGAGTGAACTTCTCCAGAAATACTTCTAGGAGAGGAAAATGAGAATAAGAAGAAAAATGAATTAAACTTCTTCATTAGCTAAATTAACTCATGCATAAGTTAATTTATAGAAATTTTCTTTTGCTTATTTCCCCAATTTTATTTTTTTTAATTTATGTATAAACTAGTTTTTTTTCTTATAGAAAAGTGTATTTCGATTTTCTTTCCTATTTTTTTTTTCTCATATAAGTGTTTCTAGAGAAGTTTTTATCCAAAAAGGCCCTAAAAACCTTTATGCTAGTTCATATATTATTTTTTCTGATTTTGTTGTTGGATGGTTTGTGTTGGTGCAGTCGTCTTTCCTGTGGGGGTATCTGGCTTCCCCTATCGCTGGAGGGGTGTTGGTGGATATCTATGGTGGCAAAGTGGTGATGGCTTGGGGTGTGGCATTGTGGTCCCTCGCTACTTTTCTCACCCCTTGGGCTGCTCAGACATCACTCTTGGCTCTACTTGCCGTCCGTGCCTTGCTTGGTGTCGCCGAAGGGGTCGCGCTTCCTTCCATGAATAACATGGTCGCCAGGTAAAGTGACTCTTTACGAACTTTATTTTAGTCTTTTAGACATCTGGATTTTGGCTAAAATTGAGTATGAAACAAATAGTGTGTTTGGATATGCGTTATAAATGCAAAAAAGCATGTCAAATTGGTGAATGATATGTTAGCTACAGTTGCGCTTCTTTGTTGATGCAGAAAGCTATTCCCAAATGCGTGACCAGACACATGTTTATGTTTAGGATTGGGAACTTTTTATCTGAAAAATAAAGTTTGTAGTAGAGTTTTAGTATAGAATTCTCAATGCAAAAGTTACATTGAACAAGCTTCTCCTTGAATTGGTTTTGACCCCTTAAAACCTTTTTGAAGCATGATGGAACAAAAAACCAAACATAGTTAAGATGCTGAATATGGTATTTAGCCCCTGCAAAACCAAACACAGGCTCAATGTGTCATGCTCTGGACTCTACAATTTTCAATCTGAGGTGGTGGTTATAGTATGGATGTGTTACGAGTTTTTAAATTTTGACATGACATGAGAATGTGGGATGGCCTTTAATTATTACCTTGTTATGATTGTATGAAGTTGCTGGAGCAAGAAAGGCTTGATATTTATAGTGACTGGTTTTGGTTCTCTGCTTTAGATGGTTTCCACAAACTGAGCGATCAAGGGCTGTAGGAATCTCAATGGCTGGATTTCAGCTTGGATGTGCGATAGGGCTCACTCTTTCTCCCATTCTCATGTCACAAGGTGGTATGTTCGGTCCTTTTGTGATTTTTGGATTGTCTGGGTTTCTTTGGGTGTTGGTGTGGTTGTCTGCAACTTCAAGCACTCCTGATCGAAGTCCTCAGATATCAAAATATGAGCTGGAGTATATATTAAATAGAAAGGACAAGTCTTTTATGGTGGAGACACCTAAGCCAAAGAAAGTTAAAGTGATCCCTCCTTTTAGGAAGTTGCTTTCGAAGTTGCCAACATGGTCTCTAATAGTTGCAAATGCCATGCACAGTTGGGTAATGCTTCACACTCCAGCATTTGTTTAATTTATGTTGCTGGTGTTCTTAATTGGAGCTGATAACTGTCATAATTTGATAGCAAATTATCATTTATTATGCCCCAATTGGATTCACTTATCTTATTGCACAAGGTAATCCTCATTCCTCACCTTTGGTTCTCATCCAATCCACCAAAAGAAAAAATATAAAAGATGTTTCTTAAATGTGGCTCAGGAGCCCACATCATGCAGCGTTATTATTATTCATGCAAATTCATATTTGTTGCCCTTTTTAATTTTATTTTTTCTTATTTCACAGGGTTTTTTTATTGTTCTTTCTTGGATGCCGATATACTTCAGCACAGTAAGGCTTATCATATTTAGTTCTGAGACTGTAAAATGTCAAGCAATAAAATATTTAGAAATCAACACTTAGAACAGTGAATATATGGGTTTCCATTATAGGTGTACCGTGTGGATCTCAGGCATGCAGCATGGTTTAGTGCAGTTCCATGGGCTGTGATGGCTATCATGAATTACATTGCTGGCTTGTGGTCGGATATGATGATACAAAGTGGTATAAGTGTCACTTTGACCCGTAAGATCATGCAGGTATGTTGCAGATATTAAAAAGAGAGTTACATTTCTACAAGGGTAGACTTTAAATCTATCCCTTGATGTAGATTGCAGGTGAATTGTGAAATTATTGGTAACAAACTTCTATTTCTAATTTAATTAAAAACTAGATTTCTCTATTGTATTAATGTCATGATAAACTGCTCCTGGATATTTTGGAGAATTTGAGATAGGTCAACCCAAGTGGCTATTTATGGATTAGGAACAGAATCACTACAATGAGTGATTATTCAGACAGTTTGCATAAATATCTTTCCAGGCTGTCCCTATCTGAAGTTCTTCCTATATCTTTATTCGTTTTCAATCCAACATTTTTTTTATTTTGCCTTTTGCATAATCCTAATGTTTAAAGCATAAGATCATTGAGAAATAAGCAATTCGGTACCAGTTTGTCCTTACTGGCAGAGGTTTATAGCAAGGGGAATTAGGTTCTATTGAAACATGAAACTACGAAAGCATGATAGGTAACCCATTTGGGTTCACTGGGCCTGCAGTTAGGAGCTGACAAATAAAGAAGAGAAGTGGTAAGGGTAGGAGGATGGGAATTGGAGGGAGAGTAAGAAGCTAGAAGGGGCACAACAGAAAGGATAGGTAGCAATTAATAAGTGGAGCAAGAGATGGAAACAATTCTATATAGTGGGGAGGGAGGAGGGAATTGTTAAGGGGATAAAGGATGGGCTGAGGGAAGAAACTTCTTCCTCAGAAAAAAAAAAAAAAAAAAAAAA